ACTCCTTTGCTATCTCCTTCCACTACGTGAAGCCATGGAAAAGTCTCAAGTTAGTTTGTCATTTAATATTCTGCCAAAAAATAAAACAACAAGAAAAACGATTCCCTTGAACCTGCTTCTCCCATTCGCCACTTAAGAAACGAAAAGTCTGGGTCGAGTCTCATCACACGGTTGCTGTTGGGACTGGCATCACTGAGGACAATACGGTTTCTCATGCTTTGCTTGATCTTTAGTAATAGTCCCAACGTGAGCGATTGCGAGCTTACACTCGACCCAGATTCCCTCTGGTTTCAAAATTGACAAATAACATAAAATGGGACAATTGTGGTAAAAATGATTCTAAATATTGCAAGTTTCACAAAATTTTTCACAGCGAATGAACTGAAACAATAAAGGACGCTCCGTGCAATGATATTGTTAGGTCTCGAAACCCACTCATAAGTGAAATTGTTTTTCTCTCTCCGGATATGAACCATGACACTTTCACATGATTACGCATGCATGTGCACGATTCTACGAAATTATCTCCTTCACCAAACACAAATATCAGGGGAGAACGAAAATGGATGGAAAATGCCTCGGATGCGTCAGAAATTTTTGTTCCTTGTAAAGATTTAAACCGTTTTACGCATATCATCATGCATAATAACTCTTCTATAAGATTCTTAGAAGAGCAAGAGACCATTCAAGAGAACAGTACTTGCTTCCGTTTTCCTGTATTTCAGGTTGACAACATTCCACAAAATCTTATCGTGTTGAACTGTGCAATTAACGTCCTATTTCTAATAACAGCAATTCTTGGAAATCTCTTGGTCATATCAGCAGTTTGGAAGACACCTTCTCTTCGATGTCCTTCGAATGTATTCCTCTGTGGACTCTCAACTTCAGATCTCACCGTTGGTCTTGTCGTTCAGCCCTTGTTTCTTTATATAGAACTGATACAAATCCTCGAAAGGCCAACACAGTATCCGTGCGCTTTGGGACATGCATTCATTATAGTGTCTCATTCGGTATGTGGTGTGTCCTTGTTGACTGTTACAGCCATCAGTGTAGATAGGTTGTTAGCGCTTCATTATCATCTAAGATATGTTAATATTGTCACCGTTCAACGTGTCTCGTATCTTATCTTATTTTTCTGGTTGGTAAGCACGTCTCTGGCAAGTCTGATACTGTGGAATGAAAAAATATTTCTTGTCGTTATGGCTTTGGTGGTTGGTATTTGCCTTTGTTTGTCGGTGTTAGTCCATCTGAAAATTTATCGCGTCGTTCGACGCCATCAGCAGCAAATTCAAACCCAAAGAGAAGCAGTCCAAGCACGTGATGATTTTAACGTAGCACGTTTCAAAAGGACAGCAGCCAATGCTTTTCTGATTCACTACTTTCTTCTCCTTTGTTATACTCCACTGTTTATCACGTTACTGCTGACAAGCAACGAAGACAAGATTGATTCGGCGTCATGGAAAAAGGCCGATAGTGCTATAGCATGGAAATTGACAAGCACAATAGTATTCATGAATTCCGCTGTGAATCCTTTTATTTACTGTTGGCGTCTTAGAGGAATGCGAATCACTATAACAAAGACTTTGAAGGCAATTATCCGTAGGTCGTGATTTTGTTTCTGATTGTATTAGTTGGCACCAAAGAGATTTTGCCTACAGTAATATATCGGCTGAGTTAAATGGCAAACATAAAATTATGAATTGTATTTGTTTTGGCTATTCATGACTTTGTTAGGTCAGTAATCATAGACAAGATGCAATTGGCCTTTATACAATATAACCAAAAAAATACCATAGCATGTCGTCCATTGTGTCACATATCCTTATGTATTCTCTTACTGTTGCGTTTTACACTATTTCTCAACAATGCCAGTGGACTTTTACTTCAGTTTTCGCCTCTCTATCTAGATCTAACCGTAGTATGTGACCTATGGATTAAAACCTCAATAACCGGTTTTTCGGATTTGTTATCTATTGCGGTTTTCGATTTATTCCTTTTTTAGCGTCCGGTTTTCGGGTTTTCGGTCTAAGAATTAACAATTAGCGGACGAGTTGGGCAAAATATCATGATTTGTCACTGGAGATAGGTTAGAGCAGATCAATTATTTGCCGAAGCGGCCGAAGGCTTAGACCAAAAATTGACCTGCGAGATAATAATAATAATAATAATAATAATAATAATAATAATAATAATAATAAATAAATATTTATATAGCGCCTATCTATGCCTGCTCTAGGC